CGGTAGGCGCAGTGCAGGCGAGCCCCGCCCGGGGCCTGGCAGCGCAGGGCCAGCTCGCCGCCCGTCGGTGTCCCCGGGGCTGGCACCAGGAGCTGCCAGCTGCACGCGTGCTGCTCTGGGCTCACGAAGCGACCCGAGGAACCGCCCTTGGGGCCCGAGGCCGGGGCCGCCTCCCTACCAGCAGCCCCCTTGTCCTTTCGGGCAGCCGCGAGGAGGCAGCATCCCAGCAGCAGCAGCAGCAGCCTCAGCGGCGAGGGCGACGCCCGCGGCCTCGGAGGATTCCTGCCTGCGGTGGCCATCCCACTCTTCTGGGGTCCTTGGGGCTTCAGTGCAGGCAGCACAAGAAGAGGAGCATCCTTGGATCTGCGGATGAAGGCTACAGATCAGTCCCACGCAGCCCTCTCCCTGGTCACAGGAACCTGCCAACTCCCCTGACTGGACTTTCTGGAAACCAATGTTCTCAGTTAGCTGAGAGGAGCCCCTCTAAAGAGTTGTCCTAGGGGGACAACTTACTGTTTAAGGGATCGTTTTTTGAAACGTTCATTGAGATAGGAAAATGTTTAATAATCACCCCACCACCCTCCACCAAACTGTCTACAAAATCATTTCAGGTTAATTGTAGGATGCATGCACTTTGAGCTTACCGAATTCTAGAGGAGATGGAGGGGTCCTATCAGAGCAGAGCGAATGACTGCCTAAGGGATTAGTCTGTTTTAAACGGTCCTCTGTGAATGAACCTGTTATCAATGGGACAGAAGGGGCCTCCCCCTCAATGCCCCTCCCAGACTTCTCTCACACTGGATTCCCACACTACTAACACACACAGAAGACCCACACATCACAGAAGTATGATAGAAGCGGCCATGTGACATGGAACATAAATGCTGTATTTTGCTTCCATCACTGAAAATAAGGCAAATGTTAACAAATCTTTCTTTTCTTTGGAAACTTACATATTTACCTGAAGGATAAAAATTAAACAGGAAAACCTAAGTTTTAAGATTAAAAAAAGATAAAATAAAACAAAAATATTCGGAACCAGATATTATTTGACTATTTGCAGTTTCCTTTTTCTTTTTGCATTACATGTAGTGTGTGTGTGTGTGTGTGTGTGTGTGTGTGTGTGTGTAAGAGAAAAACCTGCGGGAGCCGATTCTCTTCTCTCCCTCTACCTCATGGGCCCCAAGGATCCAACTCAGTCTGTGGGCCCGGAAGCGCCTTTACCTACTGTGTCACCTTGAAGGCCCCATTATTTTCGGTTTTTTCATATCGCTCAGTTCTGTATCCATCCAGGGGTGGATATTTTGGTTTTTGACTATTTGGGGGTATGACAAATTAGTCTTAAATGTCTTTCAAAACTTACATGTTCTAAACGGAACTATTCACTTTGTAGTCAGAAAGTAGTACAAACTCAAATGGTGTAATATTTAAGTATTAACCTGTTCTTGTATGCTTCTATAGAGGAGGGATAGACTTTGGGTCTGATTAATTTTGCTGTGTGTCTTTTTAATTTACAATTTTTAAAAATTTATTTATTTATTTTTTTAATATTCATTGTTGTCAGATCCCCTGGAACTGGAGTTACAGACAGTTGTGAGCTGCCATGTGGTTGCTGGGAATTGAACCCCGGTCCTGTGGAAGAGCAGTCAGTGCTCTTAACCAGTGAGCCACTTCTCCAGCCCCTAATTTACAATTTTTTTATGATAAAGTTTATAAAATGAAAGAGTTTTACATTTATTATTTATTAATGTATTTGTTGTGTGTGTGCTCCAATGCCATGGCACACTTGTGCAGGTCAGGAGACAAGTTTCCGAAGTCTATTCTCTCCTCCCACCATGTGGGTCTCCAGGATTGAAGGATCGAACTCTGACGATCAGGCTTAGCAGCAAGCCCCTTTACTTGCTAAGCCATCTTATGAGCCCCCTTCCTTTTGAAATAGGGCCTCATGTACCCAAGACTGGCCTTGAGTTCTGACTGTGACATCGTATTTTAAGCAGAGTTTTGTTTTTTAAGCTTTGGAGGTTTTGTATTCACCCCCTAATATATGTTATCTTTTTTTATTTTAAGAGTTTCTTTCAAGGGGCTGGTGTAAAGGTAGCAAGAGAAAACTGGCTCCACAAAGTTGACCTGTGATCTCCGTCAGGCACAGTGACACATGCCCCTCCCGTACACACAGCAACAATAAGAGAAAATGTTTTGGGCTTTGTTTTGCTTAAAGCACTTACTCCCCCAGGTCACGTGGATGTTGCTCACTAGTAGAGGACTTGCTAAGTGTGTCCAAGGCCCTCGGTTTACTCCTCAGTACCGAAAAATACTTATTTCCTAAGCTAATGTCGGTATTAATTATACTAGGAACATTTTTTTTTTTGTTTTTCGAGACAGGGTTTCTCTGTGTAGTTTTGCGCCTTTCCTGGAGCTCACTTGGTAGCCCAGGCTGGCCTCGAACTCACAGCGATCCGCCTGGCTCTGCCTCCCGAGTGCTGGGATTAAAGGCGTGCGCCACCACCGCCCGGCTGGAACATTTTTAATAAAAACAAATCGGTACCCACAGCATTAAGAAATGCTAACAACATCAAAACAGGAACGCTAACAAAAGTTTTGTAATTATCAATAGATAATTAATGAATTTCACAGATGGAAATCCTTTCTAAATTTCTTCCTCAGAAAAATATTCTCACAAGTAAAGCACCAAAAGTAGTCACAGACTTTATTCTTTCTGTTGCTCTGGTATTATCAAGGGCGGCCTGACATTGGGATAGATTTTTCAGCTAAAGGGTGACATCTTGTGGCATTGTGGTCTAGTTGCACTAAAAGAATGTCAACTAATGAGCTAGGTCCACAGGCTGAGCTGTCATAGGCATTACTCCGAGAAGCAAAAGGAAAGGTACACAGATGTGCTATACACGTCAGAAAAGGCAAGACAAGTTAAAAACCATGCTAAGTGAAACAGAACATGTGTAGCCTGGTGGCTTCTGCCTGTCATTCCAACACCCTAAATGCTGAGGCAGGAGAATCAGACACTCAAGGCTGGACGGGGCAGCACAGTGAGCCTCGGGGCAGCCTGAGACACAACAAGACCTTGTCTCAAAAACAAAGACAGAAAGAAAGAAACTATAACATAAAACCCAGCGCTTTAGAGGCTTGGATGAAAATATTTCCTGCCTTTACAGAAAACTGGAAATTGGTTCACGGCACCCATGTCGGGTAGCTCATAGCCACCTGTTACTCCAGCTCCAGGTGATCTATCACCCTCTTCTGTCCTTCATGGGGACCTGCACTCCCATGTACATACTGCCACATGAATACATACATATAATTAAAAAAATAAAAATAGGGCTGGAGAGATGGCTCAGAGGTTAAGAGCACTGGCTGTTCTTCCAAAGGTCCTGAGTTCAATTCCCAACAACCACCTGGTGGCTCACCTGTTCTTCCAAAGGTCTTGAGTTCAATTCCCAGCAACCACATGGTGGCTCACAACCATCTGTAATGAGATC